CTGACCATGGTCCCCACTCTCCGCTGGAAGCGGCCCAGCGACTCCTCGCTGTCGGACTCCAGCGACTCCGCGTCCGCGCGGTCGCTGGCGGAGCGGCCAGGAAGCGAGGGTGAGGCCGGACCAGCCCCCTCGTCCTCCCCTCCTCCTCCTCCTCCTCCTCCTCCTCCTCCTCCTCCTCCCTCCTGCTCCTCCTCCTACTCCTCCTCCTGCCCCTCCCCTTCTCCTCCTCCTCCTCCTCCTCCTCCTCCTCCTCCTTCTCCTCCCTCCTCCTCCTCCTCTCTTCCTCCTCCTCCTCCTTCCTCCTCCTCCTCCTCCTCCTCCTCCTCCTCCTCCTCCTCCTCCTCCTCCTCCTCCTCCTCCCCCTCCTCTTCGCCATTCTTCTTCCCCTCCCCCAACTTCTCCTCCATGCGCTCCTCTTCCTTCTGTGAAGACACCCCTGCTTTCCCCCAGGAAGAGGTGCGCGATTCCTCGAGAGGTGGCCTCGACTCTGTGAGCAGGGGAGGCTGGTGTGCCAAGGGGCGGTGAGGCAGCCCCCTAGAGAGCGGGAGCTCACAACTGCAACCACTCACTGTCAAAACCGCAGATATCGAGCGAGGAACCTGGCGTTTTGAAACCGCGGGGAGGCTCCCATGCGATCGGGGCCCCCCATCCGACACCACACACATAGGCCCCCCAGAACTCCACCCCATAATTTTGGGGGTCGTATGAGTACGGGTGCTGGTTGTCCGCTCATGACTCTTGTCCAAGTCAGACGAGGCCAGGGCTGGGACAACATCGGACTGGGACAAAGCGGGGACATCTGAAATCTGACATCTGACAGTGCTGAACTGTATCCGGCGCCGCGGCCGTTCCAGAGCGCTCCTAAAAACTTTGCAAGCGTTCCGGAACGCTCTGGAACGATTCATCCTGCTCCTGGCCCAGGCTTGCCCTTGCTAGGCCTGGCTTCTCCGCCCTGGTTCCCAGGAGCAGAGCCACACACACATGCAGCACCGAGCCTCCTCCCAACCCAGACTGGCAACGATCTAAGGCCTCGGCGCTGTGGAGGAGGTAGCCCGCGAGAGCTTCGAGCAGCGCCAGCCAGGCGTGTGTGTGCGTGTGCGCGTGTGTGTGTGTGTGGGTGTTTGCCAAACAAGGCACGAGGGTGAACCTGGCCAGGACCAGAGTGGCCGCTCCAGCTGCGCCTGCCCAGGGCCCGGAAGATGTGCCGAGAGCCCCTCGGATTGTCTGGGAGACAGTGCGCTTGTGGGTGCCATGACGGTGGGCACTCGAACCGTTCGATCGCTGAACGAATTACCAGCCCAGAACATATCCCTATCCCTTTGTTGGACATCGCCTCATCACGATGGCGATCGTAGGGATTCCCTCAGTTTCTGAGGGTGCATCCCTAAGATTGTCATCGCCTTCTGGCGTGTCAATCTCAGGGACAGGGATCAGTTCGAGGCTGGTGAACTGAACATGCCTTTAACATGCCGTCTACATGTTTTGAAGCACTTTAGACATATATCTCAAGAATGTGGTGTGAGCATCTGGGAACTCTTCGGCAAGATGCCTCCTCTCCACGGACCGCCCTCCACAGCACTGCGCTGCCTGCCGGAGAGGCTGTGCCGCCGCGCCGAGGGCTCTCGACGCGCCCAAGTGGACGAAGCCGACACCGCGGCAGACCCACGGCCAAAGCTCGGCGCCCCGCGCCCCAGGGCAGACGCGGCCGGCACCCGCGGCAGACCCAGAGACCCACCGCGCCCGAGGCGGTGCCTGCCCTCGCGGCCGAGGCACCCTCCCCGAGGCTCGGGCAGGGCGGAAGGGGGGGATAGCAGAGGGGGGGGGGGTGAGAATCAGCTCACGTAGCTGATTTTCCCGCCCCTCGGCGGGGCCGAAACCAGCTGCATGCAGCAGATTTCGTACCCCCCCTTTCCCAATCCCCCCCTTTCGTCCGGCCCGAGAGGCGTGAGGCCGCGCGTCGGAACGAACGGCGCGGCGACACGTGTTGGCGGCGCGCACAGGGATCGGGGAGGCGTGAGGCTCGGGTGCGGAGGCGTGAGGCTCGGCCCGACGGGGCCATCACAAAAATGACGAGGCCCGATCTGGAACTTGACGCAAGCTCCCGCTGCAGACATCCCACGATCACTGGACCGTCAGAATCCAGGCCGCGCTTGTCAAAAACCGTCGGCAAACCCGAGTTCCGGCTTACTCGAGTCTTACGCCTCCCCGAAAGGAGGTGCAGGGAGGGGGGAGGGCTTCTTAGAAGGAGGCTGCTTCTGAGAAGGTGGCGGCCCTGTATCTACATACAAGGCCCGCGCTTTCTGAGAAGCAGGGGTGCTTCTAAGAAGCCCTCCCCCCTCCCCCCCCTCTGCGCGTGGCTGAATGTGAACGACGATCACAAACGGCTCTTGCGCGAGGTGGCGCCGCAATCTGCGCGGCGGCTTACCCGGGCCGCCCGCGCGGCACGCCACAGTGGCGACGAGGGCGCTCACGCGCAACCTCACGCGGGCAGCTTACGCGCGAATGTCGGCGCACACGACCTGGTCTTCTTGCGCCGCCCATAGGGCCGATCCTGGAGCCCCCACCCCAAGCGTGTCGACGTCTCGCTGCTGCTGCCGCCCCTCTCCGCCGGCCTTCCGCCGGCTCCCGTCGGCGGAGCTGGCCGCCGTTCTGTTCCGGCGCCGGCCTTCCGCTGAGCTCCGCCGAGGGTGCTGCCCGCCGAGGGCCAGGCTCAGAGCACCCCCTGCGAACATGCTCGAGTTGTTCCCCCCCGCGGCCTGTGCAGGGCCGCGTCCACGTGGTCGCTGACGCGCTGCTTGCAGATGGGGCAGGCGCCCTGCCTCCGAAGCCACTCGTCGATGCAGGCCGCGCAGAAGCAGTGGAAGCACGGCAGCGTGCGGACCGGCGTGCCGACCTGGAACGACTCCATGCAGATGCTGCAGGACCACGAGTCGCCGACCTTCCGCGCCCACGCCGCGTCCATCGCCGTCAGCGCCCGCACGGGCAGGCTGGAGATCACGTGCTCCTCCGCCGGGTCCAGCCCGTAGTCGTCGTCGAAGTCGTCATCGTCCTCGTCCCTGTCGTCCTCGTCGTCCAGCTCGTCTCCGTCCAGCTCGTCCAGCTCGCTGTCATCGTCCAGCTCGTCGTCGTCCAGCTCGAGGTCCCAGCGCGATATCGGGTCGATGAGTTCCTCGGAGAACACGTCGGAGTCCTGAGACGGGCTCTCCTGCCTCTCGCTGGCTGTCCTCTGGCTGCGGATGGCGCCGGGCTCAGCCGGCGCGGCCTGGGGCGGCCCGACGAGCCTCGGCACGACGAGCTGCTCGTGGAATTGAGGTGAGGTGTCGGTGAGATGTCGCCCCTCTGCGGAGCTGCTGGCGCTTCTGGAATCACTGCTGAGGCTCAGGAACTCGGCGCCGCTCATCGGCATGGCCAGCGCGGGCAGGTGGCCCCCCAGAACGGGCACCGCGCCCGCTGCATGAGAGACCCGCCCTGGAAAGTGCGCTCGACATGAGCCGAGACCCTTCCAGACAGTGATGCCTTATGACCACAATGGTTATAATGGTGATAATGATGGTGATGAGTATGATAATACTACTGCTGATGATGACGACGGCGATGCTGATGACGACGATTATGATGATGCTGGTGCTGATGATGATGATCATGATTATGATTGTGATTATGATGAGGATGATAATGATGAGGATGATGATGATGAGGATGATGATAATGATGGTGGTTATGATCCTGAGGATGAAGATGGTAATGATGACGATGTTGATTGGCTGATGATGACGATGTTGATGACGCCGATGGTAAGTCGGCAAGAGAGTCCGTGATGAGCAAATGTGGCACATTGCATGTGGCTGCCGGTGACTGGTCGATATTGTTGTTGCTGATACCCTCTTGTGTCGCTTGTGTGCCATATAACACATAGCGTTCATCACGTCACTCATTGCGAGCACGGTGGGTTGCCTCTGGTATGCCCAGTGGGTGTGATGGATACAAGTGGCCCTGGCAACTACCATGTGCAATCATTATCTAAACTCGTGGCCCCTTTGCGGCCGTGTAAACCAACATGCGCACAACATCAACTGTTCGTGATCATTATGTGTGGTCTATGCCAACGGATGGACCTACACAATGTGCTTTGTCTTTCCTTCACATGCTTTCGCACATAACACTACGGTTGACACAACCACATCGCGGATCAAACGGTCGCTAAGCAAACCGGGAGCACCGCACAATCCGGCCTGCAATACAAACATTCATTCTATGCACCGTGGCCTGAACAACAAATCGGTAATGCAATTGCTCTGAACTTGCTCCACTCGGGCGTCGAAGCTGCGTCGAACGTCCGTCGACTCGAGTCGAGCTTGAGTCGAACCTGAGCCGAGCTTGAACCGAACCTGGATCGAACTTGAGTCGATCTGGAACCGAAATAGAATCGAACTAGGGTCGAACAGGTCCGTCAGGTGGGCCTCAAGAAGGCCCCCCCAAAAGAGCATCTAAAATCAGACGGGGGGGGCCGGGTGGTCATTCACTGTCCCTGGGGTGCGTGGCTAAAGTGGGATGCCGTGGCCCAGATTCTTGTTTTTAGCGGTTTTGTTTGTCGTTGATCTCTCACTTCTCAAGAACAAGTGTTGCAATTATTGTTGATCCTCCCCCTCCGGTGTTCGATTGGAGTGCTGTTAGCACCTTGTTTTTTTTCAAAAGGAAAAATTGCGTCTCAGTCTGTGCTGTTGGCCGCCAGTTTACAACAACAGTGGCTCTCGATTGATACTTCCTCACAATGTATTCAACATCGCGCTCTCGCGCGGGATCTCCTCACAACTTGCCCAGGACTCACGCTCTCGCGCTGGACTTCCTCGCAATGCGTTGAAACGCCGCGCCCTCGACGGCACTCGGGACTCGCGCACTCGCCGTGGACTTCCTCACGATTGACATTGGCATCGCGCTATCGCTCGAGACCTCCTCGCGAGTCCTGCAGGAAGCACGCCTCAGTGGCCCGCCCGCCCGACCCGCCCGTCTGGCTCAGGAGCTCGTCTTCCTGCTCCTGGCCCCCCTTCTGCTAGTCTCCCTCGTGCTCCGTCCTCCTTCCTGCCTCTTGTCCCTCCCCTTCTCCCTCCCTTCCTCTGCCGCAGTGGCTGCGCCAAAAGCACGTGGCAGATGAGGACAATATGCACCCAAGGGGGGCACGATCGAAGACGAAGAGGTCGGGGGGTACCCAGGGTTTGGGGTATACATGTTCAAGGAGGACACGCCAGCATATAATAACGAATCACGTTAAACGTGTGCTTGTCATTGTTCTTGGTGCTGTTGTTAGTGGTGGTGGTGTTGCCGTTGTTGACGTTCATTTCTCATCTCTGGGATAAAAATATTGCTGATCCTCCCTGCCCAATGACCATAATACTTCTCAATTGAAGTGCTTCGTCCGGGGCTCGCACCCTGTTTTTTTTACGAGGGAACGCGGCGGGTCACCAAACTGCGTCGTTGGCCCCCGGTTTACAACAACAGCGGCTTCCGCCTGATACTTCCTCACGATTCATTTCCAAATCGCACTCTCGCGCGGGACGTCTTCACAACGTATGCGGGAATCGCGCTCTCGCGTGGAAACTCCTTGCAATTTATTCTGACGCCGCGCCCTCGACACTTAGGAATCACGCTCTCGCCGTTGATTTCCTCATGAGTTGTTTGTAAATCGACCTGTTGTTTGAGACTTCCTCGCGATTCACGCAGTAATCGCGCTTCAACAACCCGCCTGCTCGACCTGGCCGCTTGGGCCCGCCTTCCCGACCCGCCCGTTAGGGTCTATCCGCCCGATCTGCCCCTCTGGTTTTGCGACGTGCTTTCTGCTCCTAGCCCCCCTCCTGCTACTCTCTTTGGTGCTCCATCCTCGTCACTTTTCCTTGTCCCTCCCTTCCTTCCGTCCTCCTTTTCTATGCTGTTATGGGCTACGCAAAATACACGTTGCAGATAAGAAAGATACACACCCAAAGGGGGTACGGTCGAGGACGAAGAGGGCGGGTATCGAGGGTTTGGGATCTACGTACTGAGTGATCTGCAAGCAGATAGGAGCGAACAGTCTCAAACTGTCTGTTGTTGTTGGGTTGACTTCTCAGGTCACGCAATGATCATTGATCCCCGCTTGCCCGGAAACCGTTGCATTTGTCAAGTATAGTGCTTCTCCCAGGGCTCACACCCTATTTGTTCACATACCAAAACGAAGGGACGCAAAACTACGCTGTTGCCCCCCGAACTCAACAACGGCTCACAGCTGCGACTTCCTCACAAAGTATTTCCCAATCGCGCTCTCGCGCAGGACCTCTTCGCAACTTATGCAGGAATCGCGCTCTCAAGTGGCACTTCCTCGCAATGTAACTAGACGCCGCGCCCTCGACACTTAGGAGTCACGCTCTCGCTGTGGATGTCCTCACGATTTACTTGGAAATCGCGCTATCGTTCGAAACATTCTCGCGATTCATTCAGGATGCACGCTTCAGCAACCCGCGTGCTCGACCTGGCCGCCTAGGCCCGCCTAGGCCCGCCTTCCCGACCCACTCAGTCGGGTCTACCCACCCGATTTGCCCCTATGGTTTTGCCTCGTGTTTTCTGCTCCTGCCCCCCTCCTGCTACTCACTATCGCGCTCCATGCTCCTCCCTCCCCCATGTCCTTTCCTTACACCCGTTCTCTCTTGCACTGTTTTGAAGGTGCATGCAATACACGCTGCAGGTAAGACAGATACATCCCTAAAGGGGGTACGGCCGAAGACGAGATGGGCGGGAATAGAGGGTGTGATATATACGTTTTGAGTGGCACGCGCGCAGATAAGAGCGAGTAGTATCAATATGAATGGTGTTGGTGCTGCTGCTGCTGCTGCTGTTGTTGTTGTTGTCGTCGAACTATCAATGCTGAAGAAGAAAAGGTGCTGATCCCCCACTGGTGCAACTTGTGCTTTTTCAATTGCAGTGCCTCACTCAAGGAACGTCTTCCTGCTTAACTGCGCTGTTGGGCTCCGAAGTGCAACAACGGCTCCCGCCTGATACTTCCTCACAATGTATACGGGAACCGCTCTCTCGCGCGGGGGTTCCACGGCTATGTTTTCACACGCCGCGCATTCCATACTCTGGAATCATGTCTCGCATTGGCCTTTCTCACGGTTTACTTGGGAATCGCGCTATCGCTCGAAATTTCCTCGCGATTCGTGGAAGACGCATGCTTCAGCAACCCAGCCTCGTCGACCTTGCCACCTGCCCCGCGCTCCTGACCCGCCCGCTAGGGTCTGCCCGCCCGATCTGCCCGTCCGGTTCTGCCACGACGTGCTTTCTGCTCCTCGCCCCCCTCCTGCTAATTTCTCTTGTGCTCCATCCTTCTCCCTCTCCCTCCAATCCGCCCTCTCTTCCCCTGGTTCAAGGGCTGCGCGAAATTCATGTGGCAGGTGAGGAAGATATACTCCGAAGGGGGGACGCCGAAGACGAAGAGGTCTGACACCGAGGGCTCATGACACGCATGTTGAATGGCACGCGAGCCACAAGGAGCGAACAATCTCAAAACGAGTGTTGGTGTTATTCTTGGTGGTGTTGTTGATGATGAGTTCTCACTTCTGCAAAGTAAGTATCGTTGAAACCCCTCAGGGGTACATTGCTTTTTCAACTGAAATGCCTTTCCGAGGTTCCTACCCTGTTTTGTACTAGGGAAAAACTTGAGTCTCAGAATTCCGTTGTTGGCCCCCAGTTTACAACAACAGAGGCTCCCAGCTGCGACGTCCTCACAATGTATTTCCATATCGCGCTCTCGCGCGGGACTTCTTCACGATGCATGCAGGAATCGCGCTCTCGCGTGGGACTTTCCTCACAAGTGATTCAATACCTGCTGTTCGAATACGCTTTGGACATCAGAAAACCGCGCAGACATACCGACAACATGGTTAAGAACGCCACCTCCTCCTCTGAGGTTGTTACGACTCGGGATGAGAAGCCGGCCCTGGGGCCAAGAGCTGCAAAGGGGCCAACGACTCGAACACATCGAACCGTCAGAGGTCTGGGACTGACGCGGGGCACGTCTGGCGCCTTGCCTGACAACACCAGACGCGTCATGCCAGATTGCGCAGCCTGTCGGGCACGTCATGGCCGAAAACCCCACTTCGTTGCCCACTAGAACGCTGAAGACAAAAGATGGCCCATCATCGCAGCAGTCGTGAAGAGTGACCACGATGTCCAAGAGGCCATTCAAGAGACACGCGATACCTCGGCACAGATGTTCTCAATAATGCACCATTGGATGAAACAGCGACAACGACATGTCTAAGCATTATCTGCTGCTCTCCACTTAATCCTTCCTACATGACATGCGCCAACACCTCTCAATCGCATCAACTTGCATGCCGCCCTAAACCGTGATGGCTGTTGTATCCTTACTACCGGATAGGCACAATACGGACCGAGATCTCGCGCAACGTGTGATGCCCCCTCTTTCTCTGCCCCCTCTTTCTCTGGGGGGGAGGCTTCTCACAACGAGGCTGCTTCTTGGAAGCTGCGTGCCTATACCTATAGACTAAAGCCCGCGCCTTCTAAGAAGCAGCGCGCCTCTAAGACGCCTTCCCCCCTTCCCCTGCCCCCTCTGCGCATGGCCGAGGTGTGCGGACACGCGCGTGTGTGTGTTCTCCCCGCAGGCCCAGCGAGCGCGCGGGCTGATCGAGCAGCTCGGTGCGCGGAGCTGCTGTAGTGAAGAGCAGCAGCAAGCGGGGGGCAGTGGGACGGGGCGCCTACGCAGTGAGCGCACGGAGTCGGCTCCTACACTCGGGGGTCTTCTGACCCGGGTCAATCCAAACCCGGGTCAGTCAGGCCTTGCAGAATCCTGCAAGATCCTGCAATATCCTGCACCCAAGCCTGGGTCAATGCGAAGGCTCCTGCAAGATCCTGCTGGATCCCGCACCCAAGCCCAGGGTCAATGCGACCCTGGCCCTGCAGGATCCTGCAAGGCCGGGGCGCTCTGGCTGACCCCCTTTTGCGTTGACTAAAACAGGGCTAGGATCGGGATAAATCGCTCCAGAGCGTTCCGGAGCGCTCTCAGAGCGTTCCGGAACGCTCTGGAGCGGCCGCGGCGCCCAATACATCCTCCAAACCTGCCGATTCTCAGAGATTTCGAGTTATCCCGATCCGATTTTGCCCCGATCTTCGCGTCGTTTTGTTGACCCCCGTCTCGAGGCTCCCTACACACTCGAGGGCCCATCCCACCTTGCCGTGGGCGTCCACGCAGGGTGCGCGGTGTGCGCCGCAGCTCCTCTTGCGCAATTGGCGCCCCCACGCGGTGAGCGCAGGGAGCAGCTCGAGTCAGTCGGCTACGGGCGGGCGCGCGCCAAGACGTACGACACACAGGGGCAGCGCCTTCACGCGCACGGGCACCCGCCAGCGCGCACGCACTCCGCACACATAAACACACACACAGACGCATATATAGACACATAGGGCGCCGCACGCGAGAGGGCACGCAAACATACCAAGTTCACGCCACACGCATCCTGCGCACTACGCGCCATACTCACTCCGAAGGCTAAACACACCGCACGCACACAACACACACAACGAAGACCAACGTAATGCAGATGCTAATCCGACTAAGGCCAGTGGCAAAGACACCTAGCGAAGTAGAACGAACAAAAGCACCGACACCACACACCACTCCCCACAACGCACGTGCGCGCACGCACACACGCGCACATGCGCAGACAATCGCGCACTCATGAACTCGTGCACGCAAGCGCACGCACGTCCCCGCCCACACGCACACTGACACACACACACACACACGCAAGAATGCACGCGCGCACGTGTCAACACAATCGCGCACGTGCAATCAATACTGTCACATTCTTGCATGCGCGTACGCTTGCATTCGCCTGCGCCAATGCACACAAACGCGCGCATACCGACACAAGCTACCTCGGCGTGAACAACGATCAATCGGCTTGAACAAGCGGCGCGCAACCAAGTGCGACTCTACGGGCTCGCAACATGGCCGCAAGAGGCAGCGACCCCATATGCAGATATACTCTATGTTCATGTCCTCGCGACGGCGGGGTTTCGCAAGAAGTGTGGAAACAATGACAACCAATCTGATCTCCGAGCCGCTCTGAAACGCCGTCAGGCTGCGAATCTCACCAGCCCTGTAGGACGTGAGTGGTTTATTAGCGGACTTCCTCTTCCAACCCCCGTCTTCACCTTGGGGGAAGGGTCAATCACTGTTCCCTGTTAAAAATACACCCCATCCCCCATGCGACCGGCAGCCAACCAGGAACAGTGAGGACACCATGCTCACCCCCCCACCGTCCCTGCCAAAAAGCAATACAAAACAGACTCTGCCTCCACATTTGGAGCATGCGCGGCCAACCCGATGCGCCCCCCCAACATCCCTATCCACAAACAGTACAACATACAATTTGGGGCAAAGTCTGGAGTCATATTCGTGAGGCTCGCGAAAACGTTGTATTGTTTTTGACATGGACGGCGGGGGTGTCAGCATATTGTCTGCTGTGCGCAGGACGACCACCCCTGACAAAAAAATACAGAATGCACCTCGCAGCTAAATCTGGATCATGCGCGGAAGCCCCGCCATCACTGTATAGTTGTTCTTGACACGGACGGCGGGGATGGTGGCGTATGGCCTGCTGTGCGCAGGCCCACCGGACACAATGATGGGCATGGTCATTCGACAAGGATGGTGGGGGTCGAGATGTTTCCCGATGTGTGCTGTCACCTGCGCAGGCGCACCTGGCACATTCTGCACGTGCCCCGAACGTGGTGCACCTGGCGCGGGTGGAGTCTGCGGTGCACCTGGCGCGCGCGGAGCACGCGGCGCATCTGGCGCACCAGGTGTGCCTGGCACGTTCGGGCCCCAGGGGTGCCTGGCGCGCGTGGCGCGCCTGACACGCGTGGTGCGCCTCGCCCCACCGTCACGCACATGGGATCGGCTTCGGTTCCCAGTAGCTGTCCATCCAAAAAACGACCGCTGAACATGCTCAGGCTCGAATATTACATATGTGTTAGGAGGGCGGTTGGGAGTGAGCTAGCCGGCCTGCTACCAACGAGGGTCTCTTGATCACTGTTCCCTATTAATAAACACCCCCTCCCCCAGGCGACTGGTAGCCAACCAGGAACCATGAGGGCACCCCCCGACCATCCCTTGTAAAAAATGCTAAACACGCTCTGCCTCCAAATTCAAAGCATGCGCAGCCAACCCGATGCGGCCTCACCCCGCCATCCCTGTCAAAAATCGATACAGAGTACACTTGGCGGCGGCGGCGGCTGCGGCGGCCTCGGCGCCGGCGGCGGCTGCAGCGGCATCGGCGGCGGCGGCGGCGACGACGGCGGCGGCGACGGCGGCGGCGGGCGGCGGCGGCGCGGAGGCGGCGGCGGCGGGCAGCGCGGCGGCGGCAGCGGCGGCGGCTGCGGCGCGCGCGGCGGCGGCGGCGGGGCGGGCGGCGCGGCGGCGGCGGCGGCGGCGGGGCGGCGGCGGCGGCGGCGGCGGCGGCGGCGGCGCGGCGGGGGCGGCGGCGGCGGGCAGCGGCGGCGGCGGCGGCGGAGGCGGCGGCGGCGGCGGCGGATTGGCCCCCAGTAGCTGCCCATCCAAAGTCGACTGCTGAATATGCTGAAGCTCGGGCCAGACTCGGGTGCTACGTATGTGTTGGGAGGGCGGGTGTGAGTGAGCGAGGCGGCTTCCAGGCGGGGCGGGGGTCTTGATCACCGCTCCCAATTAGTATACGCCCCCTCCCCCAGGCGACGGGGAGCCAACCCGAGACCATGCGGGCCGCCCACCATCCCTTGTAAAAAATGCAAAACAGACTCTGCCTCCGAATTCGGAGCATGCGCCGCGAACCCGATGCGGCCTCCCCCCACCATCCCTGTCAAAAACAATACAGAGTACACTTGGCGGCGGCGGCGGCTGCGGCGGTTGCGGCGGGGGCAGCGGCTGCGGCGGCTGCGGCGGTGGCGGCGGCGGCGCGGCGGCGGCGCGGGCGGCGCGCGGTGGCGGCGGCGGACAGCGGCGGCGGCGGCGGCGGCGGCCGCGGCGGCGGCGGCGGCGGCGGCGGAGGCGGCGGCGGCAGCGGCGGTTTGGCCCCCAGTAGCTGCCCATCCAAAGATGACTGCTGAATATGCTGCGGCTTGGGCCAGACTCGGGTGCTACGTATGTGTTGGGGGGGCGGGTGGGAGCGAGCGAGACGTCTTGCGGGCGGGGAGGGAGTCTTGACCCCTCTCCGTGCCCCCTCCCCCTGGACCTGGACGGGGGGGTTCGCGAGTCGTTGGGGCGTCCAACATGGCCTCGGCGAGAAGGCACAAGTGATTGGTAGTACTACGGTGTTGGCTACATTTTGGCCACTGGGGGTGGGCGCTAATTGTGCCTCACCCCTTCTCTGATCGAACTCCTCCAAGATGGCCCCACGATGGCCCACACGTTTTTTGGGGGCCTCGGCGCTCACGCCTCAGCAGCCTCCCAGGCGCCGAACGCGACGATGGCCAAGATGGCCCCCAAGGCTCCCACGAGGCCCCCAAGAGGCCCCCAAAAAGTTCCCCAGAGACTCTCAAGAGACCTCCAAGAGGCCCCAAGAGGCTCCCCCGAGGCACCCAAGACGCTCTTAGAGGCGCCCGGGACCGCCAAGAGGCCCCATAGACGCCCGAAGGAACTTCAAGAAACTCTCGAGAGACATCCGACGCGACTCCGAGAGGTATCCAAGAGGCCCCTGGCCTTTCTGCTCGCCCTCCACCTCCTCCTCCTTCTCCTCCTCCTCTTGCTCATCCGTCTGTTCCTCCACCTCCTCCCTCCTCCTCTCTCCCCCTCCCCTTCCTTCCCCGCCTCCTCCGATTACTCCTCCATCCTCCCCCTCGTGGGCCAGGACGGCTTCGCCAACCCTTCACTTAAAACCGCCTGCTTCTCCACATCCTCGATCAAGGCAATCCGCCGGGGTATCGTTTCTGGACGGGCGGGTGGGGTTACGCTTAGGTCGGGCGTGTCCCTCTACAGGCAAGTTCTGAAGGAAAATTCAACATACCCAAAACATAATCAAATATGGTCATCAGATAGTGGAAAAATCGTCCCCAGGCTATGTTTTGACGATTTTGAATATTCCTCCTGTGCATGGGCACGCTCGGCTTAAGGTTACGCGAAGCGTTTAGAATAGCGGGTGGAAGAAACCGCCTGTGTACGTCCAACACTCGCGTGCTGAACCCTCAAGAATCCAATTCGAACACGTGTTGAACGTGCGCTGACTACCCAACCAGGGCGAACTTCTTTGGACCTGCCGAAGAAGCGCTACGCCACAAAGAAAGGAAATACGGCGGCCCAACGGGCCAGAGGCGTGCTAAGATTTCCGGTAACAGGTTTAGAATGCTTCTAACTCGCGCGCGCGGGGCCGCGCGAGGGGGTCTCAGGACGCAGAAATACCCGGGCAACCTCCCGCCAAATTCCCCTCAAGGATGCCGGAACTCCCCAGGGGACTCCCTGGGGCGGTCTTCCGGGGCCCCAGGAGACCCCAAAGACGGTCTAAGAGAGCCCCGAATCGCTGAACGGTCGGTCCAAGACGCCTAAGATGGCCTCCAATCGGCCAAACAAGAGGTCTTCAAGAGCCTTCTCAAGAGGAGCCCGCGACGCCAAAATCATTGACTTCCCCTGTGTTAGCGATCGTCTCGGGTTTCTTCATCTTTCGAACTTCCGACGCTCCAAGACGTCCCAAGAGGCCGTCAAGACCACCCCAGGACGGGCTCATTGGCCCCCAGGAGAGCCCTAAGATGGCAACATGGCCGAAGAGGAACGAATACGACCCAAAAGGCGCCCAAGACAGCCCCAAGCTGCGCCCATGAGGAGGAACACGAACCGAAAATCCGAGACTTCCGTCCCAAGAGGCATCCAGGAGGTCCCAAGAGGCCCCAAGGAGGCGCCCGAGAGGCCCCCCACCAGGCCCCAAGGGGCTCCAGGCAGGCCCCTGAGACGCTCCAAAACAGCCAAACAGCCCCCCCAAAGCCTCGGAAGTACCTCCAGGAGGCCCACGACAGGCCTCGACGAGATCCCGACAAACATCCAAGAGAACCAAGACCCATCACCCTGGCACGCTGGCGGGATGGGCCGAAAATCATTCGATATGGGCTGGCGGGATGAGCGAAGCAATTCAATTATCCCGGCAAAGCAACCTAACAGCGATGTGTAGGAGCATATCTGGAAGCATTCCCCTTAAGATTCACATGAGAATCCAGTTGTAGAATTCTGCTGTTCTCGCAGTCGCAGTCGCATTCGCGATGAAAGTCGCAGTGGCAACGGCAGTCGCAGTCACAGCCTCAGCCTCAGCCAGCCTCAGCCTCAGCCTCAGCCTGCCTCAGCCTCAGCCTCAGCCTGCTTCAGCCTCAGCCTCAGTCTGCCTTCAGCCTCGGCCTCAGCCTCAGCCTGCCTCAGCCTCAGCCTGCATCAGCCTCAGCCTCAGCCTCAGCCTGCCTCAGCCTCAGCCTGCCTCAGCCTCAGCCTCAGCCTGCCTCAGCCTCAGCCTCAGCCTGCTTCAGCCTCAGCCTCAGTCTGCCTTCAGCCTCGGCCTCAGCCTCAGCCTGCCTCAGCCTCAGCCTGCATCAGCCTCAGCCTCAGCCTCAGCCTGCCTCAGCTCAGCCTGCCTCAGCCTCAGCCTCAGCCTCAGCCTCAGCCTCAGCCTCAGCCTGCTTCAGCCTCAGCCTCAGTCTGCCTTCAGCCTCGGCCTCAGCCTCAGCCTGCCTCAGCCTCAGCCTGCATCAGCCTCAGCCTCAGCCTCAGCCTGCCTCAGCATCAGCCTGCCTCAGCCTCAGCCTGCCTCAGCCTCAGCCTCAGCCTGCTTCAGCCTCAGCCTCAGTCTGCCTTCAGCCTCGGCCTCAGCCTCAGCCTGCCTCAGCCTCAGCCTGCATCAGCCTCAGCCTCAGCCTCAGCCTGCCTCAGCATCAGCCTGCCTCAGCCTCAGCCTCAGCCTGCCTCAGCCTCAGCCTCAGCCTGCTTCAGCCTCAGCCTCAGTCTGCCTTCAGCCTCGGCCTCAGCCTCAGCCTGCCTCAGCCTCAGCCTGCATCAGCCTCAGCCTCAGCCTCAGCCTGCCTCAGCCTCAGCCTGCCTCAGCCTCAGCCTCAGCTGCCTCAGCCTCAGCCTGCTTCAGCCTCAGCCTCAGTCTGCCTTCAGCCTCGGCCTCAGCCTCAGCCTGCCTCAGCCTCAGCCTGCATCAGCCTGAGCCTCAGCCTCAGCCTGCCTCAGCATCAGCCTGCCTCAGCCTCAGCCTCAGCCTGCCTCAGCCTCAGCCTCAGCCTGCTTCAGCCTCAGCCTCAGTCTGCCTTCAGCCTCGGCCTCAGCCTCAGCCTGCCTCAGCCTCAGCCTGCATCAGCCTCAGCCTCAGCCTCAGCCTGCCTCAGCATCAGCCTGCCTCAGCCTCAGCCTCAGCCTGCCTCAGCCTCAGCCTCAGCCTGCTTCAGCCTCAGCCTCAGCCTTCAGCCTTCAGCCTCAGCCTCAGCCTCAGCCTCCTGCCTCAGCCTCAGCCTCAGCCTCAGCCTCAGCCTCAGCCTGCCTCAGCCTCAGCCTCAGCCTGCCTCAGCATTCAAAATGTGGCTCAGGAATTGAGTTTTGGGAACTCGAAGAGCACGAAGTGGCCTACAGTTGGCTCCGGGCATTCAAAATGTAGCCCAGGAATGGAGTTCTGGGAACTCGAAGACCACGAAGTAGCCTACAGTTGGCTCCGGGCATTCAAAATGTGGCCGGGGAATGGAGTTTGGGAACTCGAAGAGCACGAAGTGGCCTACAGTTGGCTCCGGGCATTCACAATGTGGCCCGGGAATGGAGTTCTGGGAACTCGAAAGCACGAAGTGGCCTAAAGTTGGCTCCGGGCATCCAAAATGTGGCCCGGGAATGGAGTTCTGGGAAGTCGAAGAGCACGAAGTGGCCTACAGTTGGCTCCGGGCATTCAAAATGTGGCCCGGGAATGGAGTTCTGGGAAATCGAAGAGCACGAAGTGCCCTACAGTTGGCTCTGGGCATTCAAAATGTGGCCCGGGAATGGAGTTCTGGGAGCGCCAAGAGCGATTTTGCGAGGATGTCTCAAGCGATGTGGGTGGCGGCGGCAGAGCGCCGGCAGCCTCCCCAGGTCCCGCCCGGACCCCCCTGAGGAGTCATGATGCTCTCTTTTGAGACCACTAGAAACCTATCAGCAAGATCTGTTAGGTAAAAACTCCTTCATGTCCGGCCGAACAGAAAACACGTTACAGAAGCCGACGGACACCGAAGCGAATACGAGCCGGAACCAAGAGGGTGGGTGCTGGACAAAAAAACCTTAACGATGTGGCAGAGGAAAAGTGGCACGGTGCCCGGAGGCACATCTTCGTCAAACGGAGCAAACCTGGCGGACGACGTGTTAGTGGAAATCCCTCTCAAGAGCCAACGACCAGACACAACAATCCAATAACACTGTTCATGTGCTTGGTGTGGCTGGTGCCAGCATTCACAGGCATCGCTCTGCGACGCAGAGATCCGTACAGAAAATAGAAGGGTCGAGGAAAATGCAACCAGAAATAAGCAGTGATTAAGCAATGACGAGACAATCCTGCTGCCACGCATATAAGCCGAGCGCGATGACCCCGATCATCCAAAAGCTTCCTCCCAACAAACTTTCCATACTTCTTTCAACTCTCAAGCCCTTGACATGTTGTACTAACGTCGTGGCAGTGTCCAAACGAGGGTAAAGCATGCACTCGCACCACACCTCTTGGATGGCCTCCAGACTGCGCAAAACTGAAACTGCCTCCACAAACGGCGCCAGCACATGGACCCCGATTAGCAACACGAGCCCTTGCTGGCAGCTGCCTCGCTCGACGCGCATCATGGCTTCCCCCATCATGTCCCTCCCCTTTTTCGCCGCCGCCTCCCACTTTCCCCCCCGCTCCCCTCCCGCTCCCCCCCAACCTCCCCTTCACCGTCCCCGTCCCTTTCCTCCTCTTCATCCCCAGATCTGCGATGACTCGATTGTTCAATACGCGGTCCCCGAAATCCCAACCACTTCCCCGGGGTCGGCTTCTCGATCCCGAGTCGTTCTTGGACGGTCCTGGCTCTGGAACGGATCTGTCCTCGTCCTAATCCCGTCCGGCTTGTCACACGTCAGAGGCAGACCCAGATCTGCGACGATGTGATGTCTTTCGATCCGGGCGTCTTTTCCCTCGACTGCGGCCTCTGGGGCCGAGATCTCTCGGGCCCCGCCCGGGGGCCATCAAAAGTGGGCCCGTGGCGAGCATCCACCCCTGGCGAGCGGGGGCCGCGCACTGACAGAGACACATCGGCGGACGTCTGGGGATATATACGCTCGCGGTAGCACGTGCCAGCCAAAGGTGCCAGCTGGACTCGGAATCCCACCGCGGGAGGTCAGCCCCGCCAGAGTGCGGGGCCGTGCGGACTCCGAGGGAGCCCACCGGCCGTGGCGTGCGTGAGGCCTCCCAGGAGGCCCAGGAAGGCCGAGCGACGGCCCTGGAGCCCCGCTGCGCGAACCTCGGCGCGCACCTCCTCTCCTCCTCCCCGCAGCGCAGGACACCATGGCTCGGGCTCTGATCTCCGGCCCGCGCAGGGCCCTATGCACCTCCCCCTCGCTCACGGAGGGCCCGGCGGGCCGTGCAGACCCTGTGGGCCGCCCGTCGGCATGAGGCCTCGTGCGCAGGCCGCGGAAGGGCCTTCTCGCCAGGAGCCCTCGGGTGCCTGCCGCATGACGCACTGAGGGTCCTCGGCTGCTGCACCCACTCTCCTGTCCGACTCCTCCCTCCCGCCGCCCCGCCCACCCAGCTGCCGCAGCGGTTTCCTCCAGAGACACTCCCAGATGCAGGGGCACCCTGGCCCCCCAGGGGCTCCCCCGGACGGTCCCCCCAGAGGCCCCCCCCTGCGCGTCTCCGGAGGCTTCTCCCGCAGACCCCGCAGCACTACCAGAGGCCTCCCGGACAGACGGACGAGACTGAGGGGCTCCGAGCTCCAGAGCACAGCTGCGCAAGAGAACGAAACAAACAACAATATGTTTCCTTCTCCTCCTCCTCCTCCTCCTCCTCCTCCTCCTCCTCCTCCTCCTCCCCTTCCCCACGCCCGCCACAGTCGAGCTGAGGCACGGAAGCGGCGCAGACGCCGCATCGCCCCGCGGTCCTTCCAAGCCCCCTGTGTGGCCCGAGAGCTCGTCATCTTCCTCTGCCCTCATCGTACCCTTCGACGCGTGCCCCCTCAACGGCACCCTGCACGCTCAGGCCTCAACACATCCCAACGGCCCGAGCACGACGCAACGTCCAAGTCGCCGTCCGCCCCCTCCGGCTCCCCGCGCGCCGAGAAAGTCCATCAAGTAGAACAGGCGGCAGGCGCCCAGCACCGCCTGCCGACGCGGCGTGCCCACGCGAGCGGGCGCCCAGCGGGGGGGGGTAAGCAATAAACATGTCCCTAAGCCTTTGGGAGGGGACCAAAGTAAGGAGGGCCAAGCACATCAGGGATAAGGGGTCTCTTGTGCAGATGTGTCAGACCAAACCGCACCGATTTGTTTTCCCGAATGCAGCGACGGGAAGCTGACTGAACGGAAATGACCGGGATGGTGCTGGAATGGCCCGGCTTCCGACCACGGATCTACTGGCCCCACTGCTGAATCGGAACTCCGAGAAATTACCTTCGAAAGCAACTCACATAAGCTTTGGGTTGCCCTCATGGTGCCCAATATGGTAGTGCACTTGATCTTTAGAAGCCCAATGATTCTCTCAACACGTATTTTGACTTGAGACATCTGCGAGAAGTCGCGCCGAATAGCGCGCGGAGCGCACGTCGTGCATCTCCCGCGCATGGCGCAGTTTGGGCGCTACTGGGCGCCATGTGGGCACGCTCTGGCGCTGTCTGGACACTGCGCGGCGCTTTTTGGTGATGGGCCTGTTTCCCACCACCACCACCACCATAAGTTGGAGGGGGAGGGGGTCCTTCTTCTAGTCCTCCTCCTCCTCCTCTTCGTCTTCCTCCTCCTCGTCGTCCTCCTCCTTCCCCCCTCCAACTTATGGTGGTGGTGGTGGTGGTGGTGGTGGTGGGAAAGAGGCCCATCATTTGACGTTCATGGGCGCTATTGGACACTATTCTCATGTTGCTCCCATCGCACTTACGGATCACATCCCAGAAATAATCTCCAGCACCCAAACAATTATCGAAGCAGTGCCGAACGAGTATCGCCTTCCAGGGCCCGATACGTGGACAACCTCTAAATTCGGTACTTTCCTGGTGCTCAAAATTATTTCCGGTGATCAAGGCTAAAATAGGTTGGAACATCATAACGCTACTCGCCGACATACATTCACTGCTTGACAGGCGGAAGCTTCCCTGACTTACTGTCTAACCCAAACCCGATCCAAGAGAGAGGCAGCACGAAATGTCTGAAGTGCCCACTGCTTTGCATGAAGAGCCAAAACAAGTTTCTTAACCCGTTGGGAGGGGACCTGAGCTGGGAGGGCCAGAAACATTTGGGATAATGGGGTCTTTTATGCCGATGTGTCAAGCCAAACCGCCCAGAAGTACGATCCTTAGTGCGAAGACGGGGCCCGTGAAGAGGCCACGTCTTCGTCGTGTTACCAGGCTTAGGGGTCCTTTGTTCTCGATGATCCAACTCAAACCCTATCCAAGAGAAAAGCAACACGAAATGCTTGAGGTGCTCTCAGCTTTGCGGGTGAAGCGGCACGCTTCTGCACAGTGTTGCGCACTCGCTCACAAACGCGCCGGCGGCTGGCCCTCGGCGAGAACCACGAACACGAGGGTCGCTGCAGGCGCCGCTCCGAGCCCTTCACAACAGAAATGGCAGCAAATAGCTCCACCAACATTGATATTTCCTTCGTGCGAGGCGGGGGTTGTCCGTATCCACTGCCTGGGAACCGACGTCCTGGTGCCCCAACGGGCGCTGAATATGGATATATGTTGGCCCCCGGGGGGCCGAATGTATGATCCTGGCTCCCGGTCCGGCGCCCCCCCCCGATGGGATGGGTCCCAGGACTCGGCGGGCCCCCCCCCAAACCCCCCCCAGATGGGATGGGGGGGACGACGTCGCCGCCGTTGTCGTCGTCGCCGTCGTCGTCGTCGTCGTCGTCGTCGTCGCCGCCGCCGTCGTCGCCGTCGTCGTCGTCGTCGTCGCAGTCAAGTGTGGCAGTTTTGCGTCATGCCTGGGACGGCGATGCGTATGCCGATGCGGATGCGGATGCCGAGTCTGAAGACTCTGACGACGACGACGACGAAGACGAAAACGACGACGACAGCCCCAACCACCCCATACTCACAGGCCACAGGCCACACCACACCCACAAGGGGGGGGGGGGGCCCAGGCCCATCGGGGGGGGGAGGCCAATACAATCAGCATGATGGGGGGGGAAGCTCCAGGGACCTGGATCATATACGCATATCCACCGCCTGTGGAGGTCCGCGAAGATCGATCCCCCAGGCGAGGGTTATGAATAAACCCCCGCCTCGGACCTTCGGGCCGTGGAACCCACCACATCAGCACACTGCAGCCCGGCGAAAATATCGGTATCTCACGCGCGTACAGAACCTCCCCGGCATCCAGCCTTGGCTCCCGAGCGTTGCCGAGCAGACTTGCAACACTGGCGTCAAAATAACTATCATGCAGGGCTGTGCCAACAGCATCGTAAGCAAGGTTTACATACACAGAATTGTTGAGGTGTCGATTCGAATCGCAATCGCTTGGGCGCAATACAAAACGGTACCTGTACGCCAATGGAGGGGGCGCTAAATTGTGTAATCCTGGCGGCATCGCAGGAATCCCGTGTGAAGATCCAACGACATATGCGTTCTGGATAGCCTCGCGGTCTCTCGCAGTAATCCTCAAATGTATCGACTTGGTAGGGGCGTCCGTGGGAAACTCCACGAGCACGTTTGTCATGGTGACCTCTGCGAGTAAAGCATGTCCTTCGTCCGCTCTGATATACGAAACATACTCGAAACTGCTTTTCCCAACATTCGAGAGAACCGTGTCGACGATGACCCGCTCAGGCCAACCGTCTGCATGTCGATAAAGACGCCACTGCAAGCGGCGAGTGACATGCCCCCGTCGTTCACACGACGTCTCATCTTCCTCAGGCCAAAAGAACCTGCCGATGGCCAACGTTTGGTCATTCATCCCAAAGAAACCGACACTGGCACTGTCAGCACAAAGGAGAGCGGCATGTGTCCGAGCAATTCGAGTGCTTAGATCTACCCAGTGTAGCTGGTGACGGCGGCTTGTGATCCCATCCACCACTCCGGCCCCGTATCCACCCACTACGGCCATCGCCGCCAAGACACCACAAAAGAAAACACCTGCGTGAGTACGGACAAACCACAATGTTGAAATGAATGGTGTGAGGCGAAATTTCTACGGAATGATCTGACATATCATTTCGTCTGGTCGACCGTAAGATTACGAATGCTTAACCATGTGGGTTCTAATCGTACGGTAGGTGTGCTCATCAAGTGAATCATACGGCTTCGCGTGGTAGGGCAAATCATTTCCAGTCAAAGGCACGGTTTGGTATGCCAATTCACTAGGCTGCGCATCGCATAGTGAGCCACACCATGTCGTATTGGGTCTCAGGTTGTCACATATGGTATAGCCTGTGATTGTGTATGCTGAACGGTGTGGTTACGCATCTTATGTTTAATGACTTTGTTTGGTAAGCCGTGTGGGCCCATAGTATGATACATTATGTTCTCGCGCATGATAGGCCAAACGGCTTTTCATGAGAAGGCATCTGTCACCACTGTTGCGAGCCATAATGAGGTAATTGTGTTTTCGAATGATGGTCTAGACTGGCGGATGTGACAACACCGTATAATGTTCTGCGATGGGCCCGTACGGGTTCAAATAAACAGGCAGATACTTGCGTGCGGAAGCCATTCACACGATAACCATATCGCTTCAGACGGTGAATCATTCGGCCTGTTATGGGCATCCGGATGGCTTCGCACGATATGCAGCCGAGTTTCGCATAGCACAGAAAAGGACGGCTTATGGTGGCAAAACATTTGGTTGATCGTGGTGGCCTCCGTTTTCCGTACGGCGAGACCTGCAGCTTCTACCGTATGGGTTTCGTGTGGCTGTTCATTTTGTTCAGATTAAGAGCCGTCGGTCCCCATTGGCTGGGCACTTGCGCATTCTGTGCGAAGCCACGCAGTGATTTCCTGCGATGTCATGCGGCTTTTTGCTCAAACCCGTACGGTTTCACATCGCGCATCTGGTTTCATGTGGTAGCGCGCGGTATTCCATCTGGCAATGATCTGGTCACGGCCGGGTACTGTACATCCGATGGTCGCACCTGGTGCGCCGTATGGCTTTGCATGGTAACTCGTAGTGCCAATATGAAGTGGCGAGTGGCGAGTGGCTGTCAATGATAAATGCACATGGGGCTCGGATGGGCATCCAGATGCGTTCCTGCTGCGCTGCGCATGCTTAGATCGCAGCACGCACATGCACAAACGCGCATTTCACCAATCCCCCGTTCACCACCGAAACTCCGTCACCTTGCCTGGGGCAAGTGACAAAAGAACGGCCCCTGTTGGCGTCAAGCCACGGGCATCCCTGCTACCCGTGGCACCGTGGCACTATCAAAATTCTTGCTTAGTGGAAGCAGCCGTGGTGGAACAACTCGTAAACATAATGGTCGTAGCCAGGAAGCAGCGCAAATGATAGCGGTAAGCGTCGTGATCGTGGTAGTCGTGATATCAGTGGCCCTAGACTTGCGAGCAGCAGACGTAGTAGTAGAAGCTGGAATTACACTAGTCGTTGGTGGTCGCCGCCCAAGGATTAGTACTAGTAGTTGTAGCCGTCGTAGTGGTATCCTTTGTCGTTGAAGTGATCGCCATGGTGGTAGTAGTAATAACAGTCATAGCCATAGTCGTAACAGTCGTGGGAGCAGTAGTACGAGTGATAGTAGTACTGGTAGTTGTAGTAGTAGTCGTAGTCGTGGTAAAAAGGTAATAGGAGTATTGGTAGTGGTAGTGGTACTCGACATAGTAATAGAAGTCGTAGCCGTAGGAATAGCAGTAAGAGGTGTAACAGAAGTGATAAGTAGCCCAAGTAAAAGTAGTACGAGTGGTTGCGGCAGTAGAGGGAGTAGTCGAAAACGTAGTAGTAGTAACAGTATTAATCGCAACAGTAGTAGTAGTAGTAGTAGTAGTAGTAGTCGGAGCCGTCGTGGTAGTACTAGTAATAGTAGTCGTACTAATACTTGCCGTAGTTTTAGCAGTAGTGGTAGTAGTAGTAGTAGTGGTCGTAGTAGTAGTAGTAGTAGTAGTAGCAGTAGTAGTAGTAGTAGTAATAGTAGTAGTAGTAGTAGCATCGTCGTGGTATAGTAATCGTAGTCG